ACTCTTCAGCTCAAGGCTAGCACTCTACCACTTGAGCTACAGTGCCACTTCCGGCTTTTTTCTTATGTGGTGCTGAGGAATTGAACCCAGGGCCTCTGGCATGCAAGGCAAGCACTCTACCACTGAGCCACCTCCCCAGCCACATCCTGAATTCTTGGGGGAGTTTTAATGTTCACGGCTCGTGCATCAGTAGCATTGCCAATGAGAGTCTCTTCTACTCAAACCGTCTTGGGAAAGTGGCGGTGTTCTGCTCATCTATCTCGTTTCTTCCTGGTTCCTTTCTGCCAGATCCTGCCTCCTCCTGAGTGTGGTTGGGCCATGTGTGCGGTGGTCCCTTGTGGCTGAGGGCGTGTGGTAAGGGAAAAGAATGGTAGCTTGTGAGGTGAGGGGTCAGGGCCTTCACTGCCACGCTCCTGTTCTGTCGGCCGCACTGACCCGACAGTGAGACCCACCCTGGCTAGAAATGGACAGAGGAGGCTGAAGGTTTGAGGCTCTTGGCATCTCCAGTGGCACAGCCTCTGTGCACAAGACTCCTGCAGCTCACAAAGGCTTTCCTGATAGTCTCCCACCCTTCCTAGGCCCAGAAAGCCCAACACCACTACACGATTGCAATAAAGTGCATCAGGTAAGAGGTAACTAGGAAAAGGGGGGCTCAAGGGACCCGAGAAGGTCTGAAGACTACTTGTGTTTGTGCAATGCATCCCTGTGGATGTGGTTGGGGTTGGGGTCTGTGGGAAACTTTCCCCTGGGCAGTGGACCACAGGATAAGGCAGAGGGTGGAAGCAAGCCACGGGGACCTGGGTTATCTGCTGCCCACTCACCCTCACTTGCCTCACCCTGTCCGTCCGCCCCTCAATGAGAGAGAGCAGACAGAGATCATATGCTAACTTTTTTAATTGGGGTACTGGGGACATGGTAGATATGGCCATGCTGTCCCAGTGGCAGAGGGATCTGAAGGGCTTCCTCTTCTTTATTTTCCTGAAAGAAACAAACAAAGTTATGGGAACCAATAAAGAAGGAGCTGCTGTTTTGGGGGTAGGGGAGTTGAGGACCAAACTCCGGCCCTTGCCCTTGCTACACAAGCTCTCTTCCACCAAGCTAAATCCCCAAACCCATCAAGGTGGGGTTTTCCTCTTATTTTCATTTAATGTCCTCTCCTTCCTAGATTTTTTGTTACTTTTATGATCAGCATCTAGGAGATCATGGCTATGTGGAAGTTGGGG